TTTTGGTTTTTTGGCTTTTCTTTTAATTTCAAAATATTACAGGGGTACAAATGTTTTTGGTTACATGGATCACTTTTGTAATGCTTGAGTCAGGGTTGTGTGTGGGCCCATCACCCAGACAGTATTCATGATACCCGTTAGGTAGGTTTTAACCCGTCTCCTGCTCCCTGTCTTCATTTCTGCCGAGTTTTCTCCCCTCTGTGCACGTGTGTGCTCGAAGGTTACTCCCAGTTTAATAATGAGGACGTGTGGTTCCTTGCTTTAAGTACTGCACTTAGGATACTAATTTTTAGTTCAGTTCAAATTGTTGCAAAATTGTTGTTGTAATCTGAGACTCTGCCAAATTTATTTATCAATTCCAGGAAGCTCTTGGTAGAGTCTTTCGAGTTTTCTAGATATAAGATCCTATTGTCACTAAAAAGCAATCGTTTGACCTCCTTTCATGATGTGGGTACCCTTTATTTATTTCTCTTGCCTAAGGCTTTTTCTGCATCTGCTGAGATGATGGTGTGGTCTAGTTTTTGCTTGTGTGTGTGTTGTGGACCACGTTTGTGGATTTACCTGTGTTGACTGTCCTTGCATTCCTGGGATGAAGCACACTTCGTCCTGGTGGATTCCTTTTTGGTGTGCTGTTGAATTCAGTTTGCTGTTTTTGATGGAAGTTTTTGCGTCTATATTCATAGTGACATTGGTCTACTATTTCCTTTCTTTGTCCAGTCTTGGCTTTGCTGTCAAGGTGATGCTGGCTTAACAGAATGAGTTGGGGAGGATCTCCTCCTCGATGTTATAGAATAATTTCTGCAGAGTACATACCAGCTCTATTCCTGCTTCAATCCTGACTGAGTCTGGGAGGTTGTGTGTTTCTAGGAATTTATTTGTTTCCTCTGTGTATTTGAGTTTAAATGTGTAGAAATCTTTATAGTATTCACAATGCTATTGTATATTTCTGTGGTGTCAATTGTAAAATCTCCTTTTTCATTTTTGCTTGAGCTTATTTGGGTCCTTCTATTCCTGGGTAGTCTAGCAAGAGATCTATTAATTTTGTTTATCTTCTCCAAGAACCAACTTTTTGTTTCATTGATCCTTTGTATTTTTATTTTCCATTTCATTTAGTTCTGCTGAGTTTTGCTCCTTCTCTGCTGTCTTGGGCTGGTTTGCTCTTCCCCAAGGTCTGTCGTTCGATGGCTAATTTGTGATCCTCCTGGTTTTTTTCAATGTAGGCGCTTACAGCTGTGAATTTTCCCCTGATAACTGCTTTTGCTGAATTCCACAGATTTTGACAACTTGTGTCCCCTTTGTCATTCAGTTTGAGGAACATTTTTATTTCCATTTTAATTTCATTCTTGACCTAATAATCATTTAGCAGAAGATTGTTTAATTTTTATGATTTTGTATAAATCGATCCTTTCTGTGCTTGGGCATTCAAGACTTCTTTCCTTCTGGTCAGAAGACTAGCCATTCTGTACTTCTAGTATAGTTTCTGGATCTTCATCTTTTCCCTGTTAAACATTCTCTTCCCAACCAAAGTTTTCAGTTAGGAGCTATTCTGGATACTTAAGG